ACCAGGTACACCTTATTGAAGTGAACTCACCAAATATCCTATGACTTTGTAAAAACATACAGTATATAGGTCTATTAATGCTTTCCAAATGATGCAGGCGAATGGAGCTCCCCTCAGATGGAAAGGCTCAGCAGTGTTTTCAACCATCCTTCATAAGTAAGACAGTAAAGGAATCCCTAATGTAGAACTGTTTTTTTAATAAAAACAATTAAAAGCAAGTGCACTTACATTCAAATATGCTTATTCAGTATAACCTATGCAGGTAAAGAAATCCAGTCTCCAATACAAACAGGTGGAAATGACAACAGCAGGCCACACATTGTGTTTCATCACATAATCACTTACCATTAATTGACTCCTTTGTTACTGTCTGACTATGCAATCTCCTTTAAATATACTAGGAACTATGTAATACAAGGGCCTGCATAACTGAATACAGATTGATTGGATAGTTTATGTAGGTCCACATATTACATAGTTTTGGTAAAACTAAAGATTATATAGTTAGATTGTGATGTGTATGGTGAGCTTCAGCCTTTCCAACTGTGTAAAAACCTTTTGGTTAGAGTTTCACTCTTCCATTGTAATTGTCAAGCTGTTTTTTTTCTACAGAAATAAAATACAATGGTCATAGCATAAATGTTAAAGGACATTATATTATACACTGTCCACTTAAGTTTATATACCAGGTGATGATGTCAAAATTACATTAAAAGTCTTTTTTTTAAAATAATGCACCTCAGGATACATTAAAAGTAGTTTTTTTTCCTTCTTATGTGCTCTATGTTATTCTTTCCAATATCATGGAGGGATAATGAATGACAGATTAATAATTTGCTTGAAAGTGGTCTTGATTTAAGAAAATTACTATCGGAATTTGCTTTCATGATAAAAATTATGCAAATACTCTTGCTGAAATAGCTGGGAGGAAGCCATTTCTTTCTTGACGTGTATGAACAGTGCTGCTACTCCATGTAGAAGGAATGCTGTGACCATCCATGGAAGGTGTTCATTTTCTCACCTAAGACATAAATTATCACTTCAAGTAGCAATATCCTATCCAGCATCTTGCAATCATAATTTCCACTCCATTTGGCTACTTTGAGCAAGCAATTTTCCTGTTTTCAGCCTCTGTTCTCTTTTACTAAATTACTGCTGTTGCTCTTTCTTTTTTTCCATGTAGATGCTAAGAAAAGTATTGAGCTCTACCAGAAAGGTATGACAGGAAGGGAAAATGATCAGTCTGGTGATGGCAGGCATTGTTATTAGTGTCTCCATCAGCAGATGGTTCCTGGATTTTCTTTCATCATTATTCTAGCGTGTAATCACACAAGCAAAAATTGGTGGCAGTTTGTTATGCACTGAAGGGATGCATGATGAAGAGCTTGACGTGACAAAACATCCTACTGCACATCATTTCTTCTTAAGTAACTAATTTAATGTGGTTTAAAAACCTTGTATGTGGAAATGCCCATTGTTTTCTTTACATTACATTAGAAAGTGATAGCATAATTAGTGATGTCTTTATGAATCACTGAATTATCTTAACCAATGTTTATGTCGCTTTCAACATTCTACAGCAAGAAAGTTAAAGTGTATGTAAATTCAAAATCTAGTTCTCAGCATATTATGCATTATGACTTACTATATACTTCCAGCCCACTCGGATGTGAGCATGCTGCAGGTCTCATAGACATCAGCACTAAGGTGCCTCTACCTCCTTTAGGCCATTAACAAAGCACGCAGCCCTATGCTTCATTGTGTGAATGGCCCGGTTGAAGTGGGAGGCAGAAACAAACCAGTACAAACATTGTTACACTGGGTTACTAAATGACACTTGGAGACTATCTACAAGTATTATTTTACACAGAAGGGCTGCTCTTGCTATGTAAAAAATATGGATTCCCATCTGTCATTTTGACAACCTGTAATAGCTGGTAATAGGATTGGTGGCAGGGAGAAAGGAAAAGGATGTAGGAAAAACATATTAGAAACTTTGTTGAGATGTATCTCCTATGTCTAAGGGGTTAACTGTAATTTTTTTTCCCTTTCTACCACTGAACCTGTTTGCTTTGTACCTGCAACACCTAGTGGAAAGGTGCTTTAAAAGTGGCAGTGTTTATTTACAAACAGCGACCGGGGATCTGTAAGTTTAGCTGTGGTAGCACTACCGCTGATAACTGACAGATCCCTGGCATCTTTTGTTTGCAAACATCGTTGTGGCAGTGGGTCAACATTGCCAGGCAGCGCTCATCATGATTGACGTGGATCTACATTGTGGGATATTGTTTATTTTTTACTCTTATTCATTATTCATTAAAAGTTTTTCTTCCAAGTGTGGTTGTTTTATTTACTTTTTTTTAAAGAAGAACTATGAGGTGAGTTCTTTTCACTCACCTCATAGTTCTAGCCGGCCTGTGACAATGAGACTGTCACAGGTCGGCTCAGTAGATCGGGAGGTGAGCGAACACATACCGGGTTCGCTCACCTCTCGATCCTGTCACGGCTCTCTGCCGTGACAGGGGGAGGGGCTGGATTCCCCTCTCCCCGCTCCGATCTGCCAGCGCTGACTGGCAGAACGGACGGGGGAGGGGGCGGGTACAGCTGACTCTGCATCTAGATAGGCAGAGCCAGCTGTCACTCACGCAGCTGTAGCTCGCCTTATACTGAGCTTAGGGTAACGGGAGGACGCTAGTTTGTGTCCTCCCGTTACCCTAAGGAGAACTATGGGGAAAAACACTGACCCCATAGTTCTCCTTTAACATTGTCTGTAATGAGTAATATTAGGTACTATATACCCAATATTAATTTATGTGGGGGTGGTTCTGCTGGAGGTTCGGGTGGGCAAACTGTCCAAATATGGCCAATTTGTTTGGCGTTCTGGCAATAGCTCATTCCGACCGCTATGGACCAGAGAAATTTTTACATTTCTGCTGTGGGCCTATTGATTCAATAATAACTTTGTCTTTACTTAACAAAGTAATACATAAATTGTTTTTATAACAAACAAGGCTTTCTTTTGCAGATATTGCAAAAATGGTTATATTTTGTATGTAATCAATAGAGAAAAGATGCAATAAAACCAGAAAAAAAACTTTGGGGTCTATCCACTAAGCTGCCGTAGGCAGTCGAGTGATGAAAAAAAAAACTCTCCTGGGCGCTCTGGGAGTCTCCCGCTCTTGGCCGTCCAGGAGAGAAGTACTGATTTTTCTCTTTATTCTGACACGGAACCGTGTCAGAATAGAAAAAAAATAAAGAAATATTGCCCATAGGATTGCATTGCTAGATTCCTATTGGCTATTTCAATTTGCAATAGCCAATAGTAAACTAGCATTGCACCCGTCCTCTGCTAATGGACCTGATGGAGAACTGCAGCAGAGGGCGGGTGCAATGCTAGTGCTGCAATGCTAATAGGAATCTAGCAATGCAATCCTATGGGCAAAAATGTATTTATGTTTTTCTATTCTGACACTGCTCCGTGTCAGAATAAAGAAAAAAAAAGAAAAATCAGTGTTTCTCTCCTGTGCGGCCCGGAGTGGGAGACTCCCAGAGCGCCCGGGAGAGTTTGCTGTCTGGAGATCAGTGTCCCTGGTTAGCTGGTAACCAGGGACGTTGATCTCTCTGCAAGTGACCGGAGCCAGCCGTAAGATCACGGCTGGCTCCTCCCAGCTCTCAGAAGCAGGCTGTCAGCCGGCCGCTCGACCAGCTTCGGCTTTCAGCGCGGCTCAGCCGAGGTATATGCGTTCGGCTCGACTGAGCCGCTCGGCTAAGTTCGGGGGCTATTGTGAATAACCCGTACAGCAGCCCTTCGGTTCTACTGAACCAAAGGGATCCTGGGGCCGAAGCTAGCCGAAGTATCGGCCGAAGCTACGGCTAGATCCTTCGGCTGCTTCGTGAATAGACCCCTTTGTTTCTACTTTGATCATTAAATTATTTGTTAATCTAATTCATTTTAAATATCACTAAGATTATGATTCTTAGTAAGTTATGAAATTTATTTATTTTAATGAAATATATGGTTGATTTTTATGGTTTGCTATAAAATCTATTTTATTTACCAATAATAGTTTTACAGTATTATTTTATCTTTAGTCCTAATTTACAATTGTTTTCTAATTTTATCCATCATTATCTATAAGCTCTGTTTTCCAGTAAGCAGTAACAAATGTCATATACTAATATAATTGTCCTAATAAGTATAAGTTATTATCACGTATGAAATTGCTTCTTTTTAAGTGTTGAATATAGATAAATATCTGTATAGCATCTAAAAAAACCCCCAGAAATGTGCCATTGAGATAACACAAATTAGCAGAACTGTAGACCAACAACTATCTCTCCCTTCAAACACTGTCAGCTGCTTCTATTTACTGCAGGTCTCCAAACACTGATACAAGTCTGCTGGGATTTCTGACTTTTATATTAAGGGGGCTGGCACATAAGAAAACCCCAGTTTTTGACCCTTGGAAGTCACCTGACAAAAAAATCACAGGCCAGCAAGTACTTGATTGGTAATTGGTTGCTATGGCAGTGAACAATCACATTAGTTTTTCATTTTCCACACTGCAAATGTTTTCAGTTCAGGTTGAGCTCGTGGTCAACCAGAACCGAAAGCTTATCCTTAGCCCTGACAATCCTTGTCCCTGGGAAGTAAATTGAGGAAAAATCCAACATGTTGAGCAGTTGCAAAAATTGAAACAGGGAGCGATTATTTCAATGAGGACACTTGTTCTGGTGATAACTGTATATGTGGGGATTTCCCTAATTTTGGAGCGATTTCCTTTCACTTCTTATTGCGCCTGTGAGACTGGACATGAAGGTGAATCAATGAGACACTGATGGCAACCAGTCACAAAACAGAAATAATTAAATTAAACATGTTACAAACCTAGGCTATATGCATTGGGGTAGTATTTTTTTCTACTGTACATCATTCATTATTTGCATATAGGTGGGTCTCCATTTGACTTTATATCCCATGCATTGATTTTGTTTTTCAGTGCCACCATGGGCCTTAATTGCAATAGCCATAGTTGCCGTTCTCTTGATTCTTACCTGCTGCTTCTGTGTGTGTAAAAAATGTTTATTCAAAAAGAAGAACAAGAAGAAGGGCAAGGAAAAGGGTGGAAAGAACGCTATCAACATGAAAGATGTTAAAGATTTAGGCAAGAACATGAATGACCAGGTAAAAAACTATTTTTATTGTAGTTGCTGATATTATCATATGTAGAACAAAGTGATAATGTATCAACTTTTTACAGCCTTTTCTGAACAGGTACATAATAATGATGATTTAGTATGAATTTTTTTATCATGTTTTTGTTATATTTAAGATATTAGGCAAAATAATTATAATATTTTGCTGAGAACAGTAGGTAGTAAAAATCTTACAAAGTCTCGACACTTCTAGGAATGACAAATGTCTTAGTTCCCTGCTACGCTCAGTGGTTCCTCCAACGAGTCCCTGCACCTCCACAAGACTTAGTAGTAATGTTGGGGCTGGAAGGAGGAACCGCAGTGCAGGGCAGGGGATGCAGGCATTCAATACTCCTATAGCCACCTGCCAAGCAAGAGCCAAGCTTTGAATCTTGGAATGAAAATAGTCACTTTATAGTACCATGTGTTTCTTTATGTATAGCACTGCACAATTAAATGTTATCTTATCTTTTTATTAATTCAAATATTACATAATTCAGCTTGATTTTATGTGCTATGCAAACTAATTACAGTAGCTATCTGCAGAAACTATAGAAAGTATAGTTTATTATTTACCTAATTTGATCTATCTAAATTATTCCTATATAATAATTACATAGACCATTAATTACAGTTAAATGTGCAGCTGAGTTCAGAATTTTCAGAAATGCTAACAAAAAGCTGGCTAAACTATATTAATGACCAACAGTTATTGGCCTACTGTGAAAAGAATCTAGACAATTAAACTTGGTCTCCTTTTCAGCAGGTGATGCTCTTTTGTATTTTCAGCTCTTGTCTAATATCTTTTGGTTTTGAGTTACTCCTATATTCATAGTTGTTCCTCCCATGTTGCATTTATGTTTTGCTCAATGTTGTAAAAGCAGCCTTCCCATTGTCCTCACAGTCATTATTGCAGTAAAAACAATAATGAATTTAGATGGATTCAGTTTGGTATGAGTTTATGAATATGAATATGCCTTAATGTATTATTTTTGCAGGATTATTTAATTCTTCTTTCTATCTACAGGTATAGTATTTAATAAGACTATTCACAAAAGGGTGAAGAGTTTGGAGAAGGCAGGAGAAGTGAACAATCTGGGCCAACATAGCTGAACTGGAAAGTGAGCTGAATTATAGAATGTTTCCAAATCAGCTATTTCGGCCTAGATTGTTCACTTCTCCTGCCTTCCCAAATGCTTCACCCTTTTGTGAACAGCCCTGTATGTCTTTATATTTATACATTTGCATAACCTATTTTATATGTGATAAATTATTTAAGTATTGTGACTTAATAATAGATATCCTGATACAGATAGATATACTGTATACATGCACATATAGTTAGTTTATAGTAGACTAGGGAAAGGTTTTTTCTTTTCCTATTTTCTTTACATTTTGCAACCTTTTTTCCCCCATTCATTTAACTGTTTTGCTATATAATAAGGCCTTGTCACTAGGAAGTGTCTACTCTTCTTGCTGACACATGCCTGAAGTTTATCTGACTCACATCTGCTTTTTAATCTTTTTTTCTTTGTTAAAACTAGGACTACACATTAGGATAATTCATCCCATTGTATAATTTTCTCACTGAACTCAATATATAGGGGTCTATTCACTAAGCTGCCGTAGGCAGCCGAGTGAATGACCGAACTAAAGCGGAGTGAGTCGAACGATGTTCGGCTTTTCACTTCAGGCTGGTACGGCTGATTTCAGCCATATATCTGATTAAATCAGCCGTACATCGCGTGGCTTCGGCTCGGTCCCTCTGTGGGAACGAGCAGAACAGAAAAATAGCTTAAAAAGTAGAAAAAAATAAATAGAAAACGATTGTGCAAAGCTAGCAGTGTCAGCTAGCTCCGCCCAACTGTTTTCTATTGGCCGGCGGTTCTGCTGCCGTCAAAATCTGTCGGGCTATTCACTATAGCTGTACAGCTCCCGAACTTGGCCGAGCGGCTCAGCCGAGCCGAAGGCATATGCTTCGGCTCGACTGAGCCGAAATTAAACCTGAAGCCTTGCAAGTGACAGCTGGGCGGAGCTGGGCGGAGCAATGACAACCTGGGGACGCTGCTCTGTCATTGAACAATGAAAACTTTGCAGAGCCGGACTCGATGTCACGGCCGGCTCTGCCCAGTTGTTATTCATTGGTCGGGAACTGCTAGAAGACTCTAGCAGGTCCCAGCCAATAGGAAACAGTTGGGCGGAGCTAGCTGTCACTGATTGTTCCACCAAATTGTGTCTTTCTTTTTTTTCTTTTTTTCTTGATCTTTATTTTTGTTTTTCTATTTTCATTGATCTTTCTTTTTTCATTGATCTTTGTTTTTCCCTTTTTTATTGATCTTTCTTTTTTCTTTCTTTTTTCAGTGATCTTTCTTTTGTTCTTTCTTTTTTCGATAATCTTTTTTTTTTTTGGGAAATCTTTATTTATTTTTTAACATTGATCATTTCTTTACATTTGGAAACAGTTTTTTCTATGTTTTTTTTACAACTTTTTTCGCTCTGTACCAAGCAGAATAGCCGAGCCGAATGCCTGACGGAGGTTCGGCTCATCCGATCCACTTGTTGGATCGGCTGAGTCCAAGTTTTTCTGCACTTCGGCTCAGCCGAACATGCTGAGCATGTTCGGCCGAACCAAAGCAAGTTGATGTACGGCTGATTGCAGCCGTTGTACGCCTGAAATCAGTTGTACAAGCCTGAAGTGAATAGCCGAACAGTCTTCTCACTTCACTTCGGGTTGGTTATTCACTTGGCTGCCTTCGGCAGCTTTGTGAATAACCCTCTTAGTTTTCATCCAGCTTCACATTTGTGTTTCAATCAAGTGGCAGTTGCAATAGCAGCAGAGGTATAAGAGGAACTAAATAACAAAAGGCAAAAACTTTTGTCCCAACTATTTTGTTAATACATCACCATTGGGCGGAGTTAGCTTTAAAAGTTAATATAGTATTCATGTTTCACATTTTTGTTAGAACAAAAATGTAAATGTATTCTTTCATTAAATGTTATGTAATCTCTCAGGAACTGTCACTTTACCTTGTTTAATAACTTATTTTCGTCTTCCAGAGATTTGTTTAAGTAAAAAAAAAATGTTTTAACCAAAAAGCAATATCTATTTTTTTATCAGTTGCTAGTGACCCCTAGGGACTTTCCTAGGGACTTTGGCAGCAAGATCTTGGCAATTTCATTCCTAGCTTCTCCCACTTAAAAGGATTATTAGAAATAAGTCTAATTTTTTATATGTCTATGAATATATAAATATGTATATATATATTGTGTGTGTGTGTATATATATATATATACACAGTGGGGTCTATTCACGAAGCTACGGAAGGATCTGGCCGTAGCTTAGGCCGATCCTTCGGCTAGCTTCGGTGAACATGCTGAGCATGTTCGGCCGACCTGAAGCCACGCGAAGTGAGCCGATGTACGGCTGAAATCAGCCGTACCAGCCTGAAGTGAATAGCCGAACAGTGTTCGGCTCACTTCACTTCAGATCGGTCTTTCACTCGGCTGCCTATGGCAGCTTAGTGAATAGACTCGAGTATCTCACAGAAGTGAGTGCACCCCTCCCCTCACATTTTTGTAAATATTTTATGATAGCTTTTCATGTGACGACACAGAAGAAATGACACTTTGCTACAATGTACAGTAGTGAGTGTACAGCTTATATATCAGTGTATCATTTGCTGTCCCCTCAAAATAACTCAACACACAGCCATTAATCTCTAAACCACTGGCAACAAAATGTGAGGGGTGTACTCACTTCTGTGAGATACTGTAAAAATGCTGCTAAGAGAAATAGACTGCTACTGTGCAAGCACGAGTAAAAGAAAAACAAGGGGATGGACTGAACTATTAGGTTAAATGACACTTGGCTAAATGAAAAATGATAATAAGCTAGAGCACATTTTTGCTAACCGTGGTCTTTCTTTTAGGCATTGTCTTGTTTCCTCCAATTAATCTGGCACACAGAAGAAGAAACAGCATTTCTTTATTCCCTTATTTGAGCTAATGTCATCACAGATATAGTCTGGGTTTTTGTTTGTAACTGTTATTCATTTGACACACCACATTAATTTTACAATGTCAGATTGTATCCAACTAAACTACCATTTTTTACAAAATAATATATTTTGCTTTACATTGGCAGAGGGAGTCATTCACCAGTGAAGATAGTCCAGTTTTAATTGTTTATCACAAGAAGCCCTATATACCCAAATGTGCACTTTTTGAATTTTTTGAATGGCTAATCAAATGCTCACTGCTCTGCACTCACTCCTGCATGTAATTACAAAGAACAGGTGTTTAAGTTTTGCAAGAGAAGATAGGAACGGTTACACTTTCCACATATGTGCCCTTTTGCATATGTCATTTATTAATTTTTACATAACAATTTAAATGTCTTACTAGCACTGTTTATGGCTGTTATAGTGAATTGATGCAGGGACAATAACATATACATGTGTGCAACACACTATGGAGTCTCCCTACTTCCCACACTTCCCTTCTAAATAATAGTGCAGGATTTAACCTGATGCTGCTAACATTTATTAAGTAGGTCCATTAACATGGCTTGTACTACACAAAATAGCATTTAAACAAGCATTAATAGAGTTCTACAATTTTCAAATCTGAGGTAAACTTTGGAGTGTTTTGAGTTCAGAGACTGTTTTATCATGCATGGGTCTAGAGCAGACAGTGCATTTTTTAAATATTTGCAAAGTCTATAAATATAATATCTGTATTTTAACATCCCTTGAATGTATATTTTTCTTACCAGAGAAGTAAGCACAAACCTTTTTTTTGCTTTACTTCTCTTTTTGGTCATAAGAGTACATTCAACAATGTACTCATGTGACCTAAAGTTAGCAGATAGTGGGCTGATTCCATGCTACAACTGGGAAGGATCCCAACCATATTTCCAGGATCCACCCAGCTTCCTAAGTGACAGCTTGGTTTGCCTCTCTAGAGTCAAAGCCAGCCATGAACATTCCC